TTATAAAGGAATTATAAAGGAACCTTAAGCCAGAGATTTTGGTAAGGGGCTGAGCTGGGTTTGTAAAATCTGAATTTATAAATGATAAAGGAACCTCAAACCTGAGACCTTGGTGAGAGGCTGAGCTGGGTTCTAAAATCTGAATTTATAAATGATAAAGGCTGAGCTGGGCTCAAGCATTTCTAAAATTGGAATTTATAAATTATAAAGGCTGAGCTGGGCTCAAGCATTTCTAAAATTGGAATTTATAAATTATAAAGGAACCTCAAACCTCAGACCCTGGTAAGGGGCTCAGTGGGCTCTGAAATCTGAATTTATAAATGATAGAGGAACCTTGAGCCTGAGACCTTGATAAGAGGCTGAGCTGGGTTCGAAAATCTGAATTTACAAATTATAAAGGAACCTTAAGCCAGAGATTTTGGTAAGGGGCTGAGCTGGGTTTGTAAAATCTGAATTTATAAATGATAAAGGAACCTCAAACCTGAGACTCTGGTAAGGAGCTGAGCTGAACTGAAGCATTTCTAAATCCTGAATTTATGAATGACCTGGGTGAGGGGCTGGGCTGGGTTCAGGCATTTCTGGAATTTATGAATGATGGAGCTGTTTGGGGTTCCCTCGTTTGCTGATTCTCACCCCTGTGTCCTTCACAGATCGACTCCTTCGAGCTGCTCTACTACTACGACGAGTACTTGGGGCACTCCATGTGGTGAGCGGGTCCAGAGATCATGGGATGGCACAGGGGGAAGGGCAGAGCTTAAAGTGGAAAAAAACCAAACCCCTGAGCCAGAGCTGGCTGGGGATAATGTTCTGCTGGCCAGGGCTGGATTAGGATTAGGATCCAGATTAGGGTGGAGCTGGCAATCGCTGGAAAATCCCCTCTGCTCAGGGATATTTTGGGATTGGAGGGACAGAGGAACAGCTTGTCCTTCCAGGGGTGGACAGAAGGTTCCTCCTGGTTCCTCCTGGCTGCCAGCACCCCCAGGTGTGCCCCAAACACCCCAAACAAACACCCCAAATATCCCCAAACATCCTAACAAACACCCCAAATATCCCCAAACACCCCAAACAAACACCCCAAACACCCCAAATATCCCCAAACACCCCAAACAAACACCCCAAATATCCCCAAACACCCCTAACAAACACCCCAAATATCCCCAAACAGCCCAAACACCCCAAATATCCCCAAACACCCCTAACAAACACCCCAAAATATCCCTAAACACCCCAAACAAACACCCCAAATATCCCCAAACACCCCTAACAAACACCCCAAGCATTCCAAACATCCCAAACAGCCCAAACACCCCAGACAAACACCCAAATATCCCCAAACATCCCTAACAAACACCCCAAGCATCCCAAACAGCCCAAACACCCCAAGAGAGACCCCAGAAAGGCCTGGCTGGGCCTGGATCCCCTCTGGATGATCCTGGGGAAATCTCTCCTGCCTGATTTGGGGTCCCTGGAGTGCTGGGAAGGAGCAAACCCCATTCTTTGGAGCCCTTTAAAGGGATGAAGAGCTCTGGGAGGTTTAGGAATCCTGATCCATATCCCAGGAGCCTGGGAATGCCCTGCTGGAATTGTCCAAGGTAGCTGGAACCCAGCTTTGCCTTCATCAGCAAATCCGGGCTTTTCCTGCCCCAGGCTGGGAATTCTCTGGATCTGCAGAGCCCAGGACGAGCCCAGCCCCTGCCCAGCCCTTCTGTGCCCTGGGGAGGCAGCAGGAATCCCACAGCAGCAGGAATCTCTGAGCAGGGAATCCCACAGCAGCAGGGAATCTCTGAGCAGGGAATCCCACAGCTGCAGGAATCCCTGAACAGGGAATCCCACAGCAGCAGGAATCCCTGAACAGGGAATCCCACAGCAGCAGAAGGAATCCCACAGCAGCAGGAATCTCTGAACAGGAAATCCCACAGCTGCAGGAAATCCCACAGCAGCAGGAATCCCTGAACAGGGAATCCCACAGCAGCAGGAGGAATCCCACAGCTGCTCCTTCCCCAGGCTCAGCACAGGAGCAGCTCTGGGTGTGGGGTGGATCTGGGGGAGTTCCAATCCCTTCCAGGCTCATCCCAGCTCTGGGAATTGCTGGTTTTTCCAGGTACATCCCGTTTTTCCTGATCCTGTTCATTTATTTCACCGGCTGCTTCACGCCCGCGGCGGAGCAGAGCCGGATGCCCCTGGCTGCCCTGCTCCTGGTGGGGCCCAGCAGCCTCTACTACTGGTGAGTCCCTCGGGGTGGGGAGGGAATTCCACAGGAATAGTCCAGGAATATCCCAGGAATACCCAGGAATACTCCAGGAAGAGCTGCTCCATTGCCCCCAGGGCTCCCCAGGGCAGCTTTTGCTCTGCAGGGCTGGGAACGCTCTCCCTGTGATCCCAGGATCAAAACTGATCCCCAAAGAGCTGGGAATGCTCTCCCTGTGATCCCAGGATCAAAACTGATCCCCAAAGAGCTGGGAATGCTGTCCCTGCATCCCAGGATCACCCATGATCCCAGAAGAGCTGGGAACGCTCTCCCTGTGATCCCAGGATCAAAACTGATCCCATAAAAGCTGGGAATACTTTCCCTGTGATCCCAGGATCAAAACTGATCCCATAAAAGCTGGGAGCGCTCTCCCTGTGATCCCAGGATCACCACTGATCCCAAAAAAGCTGGGAGTGCTCTCCCTGTGGGTTCTGTGATCACCAGTGATCGCAAAACAGCTGGGAATGCTCTCCCTGCCTGGATCACCACTGATCCCAGAGGAGCTGGGAACGCTCTCCCTGTGATCCCAGGATCAAAACTGATCCCAGAACAGCTGGGAATGCTCTCCCTGTGATCCCAGGATCAGAATTGATCCCAGAACAGCTGGGAACGCTCTCCCTGTGATCCCAGGATCAGAATTGATCCCAGACCAGCTGGGAATGCTCTCCCTGTGATCCCAGAGGAGCTGGGAATGCTCTCCCTGTGGTCCCAGAGGAGCTGGGGACGCTCTCCCAGCAGCCCGGCATCCCCAGGAATTCTCCCCGCAGGTACCTGGTGACCGAGGGCCAGATCTTCATCCTCTACATCTTCACCTTCTTCGCCATGATGGCCCTGGTGATGCACCAGCGGCGCAAGGGGCTGGTGCTGGACAGCAACGGGCTCTTCCTCTTCCTCTCCTTCATCATCACCCTGCTCCTCATCGCAGCCTGGGTGGGCTGGCTCTGGAATGACAAAATCCTCCGGAAAAAGTACCCGGGGGTGATTTACATCCCCGAGCCCTGGGCCTTCTACACCCTGCACATGAACAACCTGCACGCAGCCAAGGGCAGTTTCTAAGCTTTTGATATTTTTGAGGGGGGAATTTAAAAAAAAAAAAAAGAAGAAATCTAGTTTTTCTAATGTAGATTCATGTGTTTCCAATAAATTCCTGAGTGATGGTGGCTGCGTGGTGATTACGGCTGGTCAGGGAGGGGATTCATTAAAGTTAATCAACTCACTCTCACTGCTGAGCACAGGAACGGGCAGGAGAGGCCAATTCCCCACAAATGGCCCCAAAATCCATCAGGAAGGAGGGAAACTCCAGGGGTCTGTGCACCAGCACTGCCAGCTCTCACAAAAGGGCAAATTCCCCACAAATGGCCCCAAAATCCATCAGGAAGGAGGGAAACTTCAGGGATCTCTGCCCCAGCGCCTTCAGCTCTCACAAAAGGGCAAATTCCCCACAAAACAACCCAAAATCCATTGGGCAGGGGGGAACTCCAGGGGTCTTTCCACCAGCACTCACTTGCCAGCTTTCACAAAAGGGCAAATTCCCCACAAACAGCCCCAAAATCCATGGGGCAGGGGGGAACTCCGAGAATCCCTGCACCAACACCACCAGCTCTCACTCAGGGGGTGAGAATTCCTCAGAATTCCCCAAAACCAGCCCCAGAATCCATCAAGATCTCCAAGGATCTCTGCCCCAGCACTTTCTGCTTTCAGACACAAGAATCCCTGAGAATTCCCCAAAACCTGCCCGAAAGGGGAGCCAGGCTGAGCAGCTCCGGCTGCCCCGGGGATGCAGCTCCAGTTCCAGTGGTGGGAGGAGGAAATCTGCAGGTGAAATTTGGGATAAAAACAAACCCCTTCCCTACAAATCCTCCTGCAGATCCAGAAATCCCCCTCACCCTTCTCCAGACCCCCCAGTCCTTCCGTTTGGTTTTTTTTTTTAATTTTATTTTTTGATTTTGGAATTTTCTGATTTTTTTTTTTGAATTTTGGATATTTTAAATTTATTTTGGAATGTTGGAATTTTTTTTTTAAATTTTTTTTTTGGGGGGGGGAAGGTTTTGGGGCCCCAAAAAGGCGCAAAGCCCCATCCCGAGGCTGGGAAATGGCTTTTCCCGGCAGGAGCCGGAGCAGGAACAGAGCAGGAACAGGAGCAGAGCAGGAGCAGAACAAGAGCAGGAACAGGAGCAGAGCAGGAACAGGAGGCAGGAGCAGGAGCAGGAACAGAGCAGGAGCAGAGCAGGAGCAGAACAAGAACAGGAGCAGGAGCAGGAACAGGAACGGGAGCAGAACAGGAACAGGAGCAGGAGCAGAGCAGGAACAGGAGCAGGAACAGGAGCAGGAGCAGGAACAGGAGCAGAGCAGGAACAGGAGCAGGAACAAGAGCAGGAGCAGGAGCAGGAGCAGAGCAGGAACAGGAGCAGAGCAGGAGCAGGAGCAGGAGCAGGAGCAGAACAAGAGCAGGAGCAGGAGCAGAAGCAGAGCAGGAACAGGAGCAGAGCAGAGCAGGAACAGGAGTAGAACAAGAGCAGGAGCAGGAACAGGAGCAGGAACAGGAGCAGGAACAGGAGCAGAGCAGGAACAGGAGCAGAGCAGGAACAGAGCAGGAACAGGAGCAGAGCAGGAGCAGGAGCAGGAGCAGGAGCAGAGCAGAGCAGAAGCAGAGCAGGAGCAGGAGAGCAGGAGGCGGCCGGCTCAGCGCCGTAGCCATGGCAGCGGGTATTTATTACAGCCTCCGCCCGCCCGGCCGGACTTTGGCCCCGAATAAAGCACAAAAGTGGCAGCAGCCGCCTCCGCTCCCGCCGGGCCCCCAAATCCCAGGGATTGTCCCCAAAACCATGGTGAGTGACGCGTGCGGGCTCCGCCGGGCCCCTCTGCGCCCCCAAATCTCATTTTAAAGCTTCTCGCTTTTTGTTTTTTTTTCTCTCCGTTCCTGCTCCAGGCAAAGTTTCTGTCCCAGGATCAAATTAATGGTAGGTACGGGTTTGCTCCGCTTCGGGCGTCAATTAGCGAGATTAAATTTACATTTATATAAAAATGGCGTTTTCCCCCCTAAGTGTCTCAGTCTGGGCTCGCTGTCCCTCAGTCCCGGCTCTCCCGGATCTGCTGCCTGGGAAAACAGGGAAATCTCCCGAATTCCAGGGAAATTCTGCAGGGCAAGAGCAGCCGGGAGGGGAGCAGCCGCTGCCCATTCCCAGGAAAACAGCCCGGGAATGCCGGGGGCTCAGGCCCGTCCTGGGGGGCTCGGGCCGTGGGAGAGGAGGAGGAGGAGGAGGATGGGGAGGAAGGAGGCGGCGCAGGGGATCCAAATTCCCACTGGGAAAGGGGAGCCGCGCCCGCGGCTGGGATTGCTGCGGGAACGGCCGAAGGAAGCTGAAATAAGGATATTAATGAGAGTATTAATGAGAGTATTAATGAGAGTATTAATGCAAATCTGATCAGCTCCGCCGAGGGATTGGCGAGCGGAGGCGGCGGCCGGGCCAGGGGAGGCCACGGCGCCCACGGGCACCCCCGGAGCATCCTCGGGGCATCCTCGGGGCACCCCCGGAGCATCCTCGGGGCACCCCCGGGACACCCCCAGAGCATCCTCGGGGCACCCCCGGCCCGGTGCAGCCGCCCCAGCAGCGAGGGCTGGGGACGGAGGGGACAAGGACGGGGATGGCACCAGCCCAGGCTGGGTTTCTGCAGCGGGAGGGAGCGCGGTGGGAAGGGGGAGAGCCCGGCCGGATCTGGGTCAGCTGCAGCCGGGCGGGGCTGCGGGAGAGGGAGCGAGGGGGGGGAACTCGGCGGCCTCCATCCCCAAAATATTCCATCCCCAAAATATTCCATCCCCAAAGTATTCCACCGCCGACATCCTCCAGCATCCTCCCCGTCCAGCATCCTCTGCTCCATCATCCTCTCCTCTCCTCCTTCCTTTTCCTTCTTCTTTCGTTTCCTTCTTCTTTCGTTTCCTTCTTCCCCTCCTTCCTCTTTTCCTTCTACTTTCTTTTCTTTCCTCTTTTCCTTCTTCTCTTTTTCCCTTCCCTTCCTCCCCCTCCATCATCCTCCCCGTCCCTCCTTCAGCCTCCTCTCCCCCCTCTCTCACCCCACCAAGGCAAGAAAAGCACTTTTAACCCAAACCCTCCCCTTTCCCAGCCCTTTTCCCCTCCCAGCCGCGCTTCCTCAGCCTGGAGGGCCCCAGTTGGCTCCGCTCGGGGTTTGAATTGCCCTTAATTCCCCCCCCCCCCGTGCCCATCACCCTGGTGGAAAGGCGACACCCCCGGGGCCGACAGCGGATCCCGGCTGGAATCCTGCCCGGCCCGGAGCGGGGCTCAATGGGATCCTGCCCGCTGACCCAGCCTTGGTTCTTAATTAGAGTTCAAGGAATGTTTTTCCCTGTACGACAAGAAACAAAAAGGGAAGATCAAAGCCTCGGACCTGCTGGCAGTGATGAGGTGCCTGGGAGCCAGCCCCACGCCGGGAGAGGTGCAGAGACACCTGCAGCTGCACAGGATTGGTGAGCGACCTGCACAGCCACCAAAACGGGGATTAAACATGGAAAAAAATCTGTTTTCCTGGAGCTGGGATGTTCCAGGAGGGAACGTGCACCCAGAGCAGTCTCCAGAAGCTGTTGGGATGTGTTAAATCCAGCCCACGGATCAAAACAGCGCCATTAAAATCCCTAAAAAAGCAGGAGACAAACATTTAATATGGATTTGGAGGGTGGGAGGCTGTCCAGGCCAACCAACAGAGGTAGAAGAGCACAGAAAGATGTTCAGCTGAAGATCTGGGGGAAAAACAAAGCACAAAAATCAAGGAATTGTGAGATCAGGTTGGGGGGGGAGGGAATTAAAAAATCAGGATCTGAGTTCAGAGTAGAAATTGAACAGAGTTATAAATGAGGTTTTAGGAGAAAAACCCCAGTTGTGACATGCCCTGATCCAGATGCCCAAGGTCAGGGAGAAGAAACCCCAGGAGAGGGAACTGGGCCAGGAGGAGGGGAGCGTTTGGGCCTGGGTCCAGCCCCCAAACGGGGCCATTCCCAAAGGATCCGCCCTTCCTTTCCCAGACAGGAACGCCGAGCTGGACTTCTCCACCTTCCTGAACATCATGTACAGGCAGATGAAGCAGGAGGAGCCCGAGGAGGAGATCCTGAGGGCCCTGGCCATGATTGACCGGCAGAAGAGAGGAGTGATCGCCGTGCCCGAGCTGCGCGCCAAGCTCACCCGGCTGGGGGAGAAGCTCTCCGAGGAGGAAGGTGCCTGCAATTCCCACTGGGAACACATTTCCTTTTCCTTTTTCCTTTCCTTTCCTTTCCTTTCCTTTCCCCTTTTTCCTTTCCTTTCCCCTTTTTCCTTTCCCCTTTTTCCTTTCCTTTCCCCTTTTTCCTTTCCCCTTTTTCCTTTCCTTTCCCCTTTTTCCTTTCCTTTCCTTTCCTTTCCTTTCCTTTCCTCCCTCTTTCCCCTTCCTTTCCCCTTCCCTTCCCCTTTCCCTTTCCTTTCCCCTTTCCTTTCCTCCTCGCTTTTCCTTCTCCTCCTCTGCAGCCGCCTCTGGGACAAGGAAGGGCCTTGTGCCACCAGGAGACACCAAAGTAAAACCAGGCAAAACTCCCAAACCCCTCCAGTCTGTCAGAAATTTGGCTCCGAGGGGGACAATAACCCCAAAAGCCCATCTGGACTGAATTTGTGGGGTTTTTTTTCCCCCTCAGTGGAACTCAAAAAGATGGATATTCCTGCTGCAGAGAATTTTACATGGAATTAAAATCCAGGTGCTGATTGGTGCCAGTTTGAAACTCTCACCTGATCCCAGAGGTGACTGCCCACAAAAATCCCCCAGACCCCAAACCCTGCAGTGCTGCTTTCCTTCTGAACACCCCAACACCCCCAAATATCCCATCCCAACGATATTTTCCCATTTTGCAGTGGATGACCTGCTCAAAGAAGCCAAAGTTGGGCCAAATGGAACCATCAAATACGAGGAATTTGTGCGCCTCATTTGCCTTCCCTCGGTCGACTACTGAAACCCAGAGTGGGATTTGCTAAGAGCAGCACCTGGAGGGTTTTTATTTCTATTTTCCCCACTTTCTAGTCAGACTCAGGAACCATCAGTTGCCTTTCAAAACCTGATTTTGCCTTCATTTAGTGCTGACACTTCCATAGGTTCCCCCCTGATTCCTGGAAAAACAAGAAATAACATTATTTTATATATCTGTTATTATAGCAATAATAACTGTTATTGAAATAAACTGAATGTGACAACACGTGTCAAGCTGTAAAAAAAATAATTTTAAAAAGCATTTAAATGTCAGGATTGTGGCAGAAGGAACTCATGGTCAAGGTCTCCTGGTTTTCCAAGAATCCAGCACAGCCCAGCAGGTGTTTGGTGTCTGCATAAAGGAAAAACAGGGGAAAAAAAGGAAAAGCAGGGCCAGGAAAATTCCCCTTTTCCACACCAGGAAAACCTCCCCAGCTCCAGACTGATGAAACCCCCTCTGATCCTCGTTTTCCAGGTTGATGAAATTCCCTCTGATCCTCGTTTTTGTCCCACCTGGATCTCAGAGCCTTCCTCAAAGGGGTGTCTGGGATTTCAGGCAGCTCTCCCTGGATTCAGCTGGGAAGTTTCACAGCTGGGATGGTGATGCAGGAAAGGATTGGTTTGTGCAGCTGAATTCCTTGAATTCCTGGAATTCCTTGAGAATTCGTTCCCATCCATCCCTGGCCTGATCCCTCCCTGTTCAGCTCCCAATCCCTTGGGATTGCTCCAGGCTGGGAAAACATTCCCAAAGCTGCCAGGGAGGAGCCGCCCCTCGCACCCATTCCAGCACCAAATCATCCCAAAAAACCCATCCCAGCCCCAAATCCGCCCAGGAAAACCCTCTCTTCCCACTTTACCCCCTCAGGAAACACAAAATAACCGAATGCTTTTTATTACATTGAAGGATTTCTACAGGAACAGGGAACATTCAGGGGGTAAACCAGGGGTTTGGTTGGTTTTTTTCTTTTTTTTCCAATGCATATAATAAATATTTTCACTCAGTACTTTTATACAAACTGACATTGGGCTACTGTACATTTGTAAATCCATGGATTGGTTTGGCATGCCCTAAGGAAAATGAAGAGAAAAGGTTTAAGGCAATGGATGAGAGCTTTCCATTCATGGAATTCATGGTCATTTTCATATTGTCCTTATTTACACTTTTTGCCTTTTGTTAACTCATGAACAGCAGCACTTTTGGGGACCACCAGTGATTTTCAGTTGTTAGAAATCTAAATTCTGTTTAAAAAAATAAAATAAAATCACGCCACTAAAACAAAATTTTTTCCCACTAAAATGAGCTTCAAACCCTGAAATGTTCAACTGCAACAAAGAATGAATTTTCACCACGTTCTCCTCACACTCCTGGGCCCTGCAGCTCCTGGAGAATCCAAGGAACTCTTGGACTGTGCCAGCTGTGGAATCCTCCAGGGAGAGGAAGGGGAATTGCTGCTCCATCCCTCTGGAGGGGCAGGAGCGGCTCTGGGATGGCTCAGGGGGAATCTCCAGCTCTGAAAGGATGGGACAGGGGCTCCGAGGCAGCTGCAGCTGCTCCTGATGGGGGGACACGAGTGCACATCCCAGGTGTGACAGTGTGACACAAGTGTGCACATCCAGGTGTGAGTGTGACACACGTGAGTGCACATCCCAGGTGTGAGAGTGTGTGACACACCTGAGTGCACATCCCAGGTGTGAGGGTGTGACACACCTGAGTGCACATCCAGGTGTGAGAGTGACACACGTGTGCACATCCAGGTGTGAGGGTGTGACACATGTGTGCACATCCCAGGTGTGAGGGTGTGACACATGTGTGCACATCCCAGGTGTGAGAGTGACACACGTGTGCACATCCCAAATGTGTGTGCACGTCTGACACGTGTGAACATGCCAAACATGTGTGAATGTCCCACAGACACCTCTGTGCATGTCCCAAACCTGAGTCTGTGTGTGTGACACACACGTGCACACCCCAAACACGTGTGGATGTCCCAGACACGTGTGTGGATGTGCCCTACACACACAGATGCCTGTCCCACAGATGTGTGTGCCTGTCTCACAGGTATGTGCACACCCCAGACACACCTGTGCACATCCCACAGACGTGTGTGCCTGTCCCACAGGTGGCTGCACATCCCAGATGTGTCTGCACATCCCACAGGGTGTCTGCTCTTCCCAGAGGTGTGCCTGTCACACACACAAGGGTGCACGTCCCACATGTGTGATCAGACACACGTGTGCACCCCCACATATCTGTGCATGTCCCAAACACACAAACACATCCCAGATGTGTGCACATCCCACAGACACGCGTCACACCCCAAAACCATGCACACCCCAGACACACGCGTGCACACCCCAGACACACGTGTGCACACATCCCGCAGCTGTGTCTGCACATCCCCAGACAGATGTGCACATCCCAGGCACATCTGCACACCCCAGCTCTGTGAAACCCCCCAGGTGTGTGCACACCCTGCTCCTCCTAAGGACAATCCCACCTGCAATTCCAGGGATCACAGCAGGAGCATGGCCCAGGCCTCTGCTGCAGGGCTGGAGACCACAGAGCTGCAGTTTGGGAGTTGGGAATTTGGAAGTTTGGAAGTTGGGGAGTTTGGGAAGTTGGGAGTTCGGCAATTTAGGAGTTTGGGGATTTGGGAATTTAGGAGTTTGGGGATTTGGGAGTGCCTCTGGCAGGGAATGGGGAGAGGCAGACTGAGGCTGTGGCACAAGGCTCACGTGTGCTTGCAGGCACAGAGGAATTCCAGCCTCGGGAATGCTCCCAGGCCATGGATCCTGCAGGGCCCCTGTCCCTCCACAGCAGGATCACAGGGAATGGGGAATGCTCCTGTCCAAGCTGCCATTCCCAAAGTGCCAAATCCTGGGATACCATCACCACCACCACCACCACCACCACATTCCATTTCCCACGGGATTCACAGGGTTTTGATCCCGCTGCTCTTGGGGTCGCCCTTCACAGACTCCATGGAAAAGTGGGAAAGGAGCTGTGAGCAATCCCAAATTCCTGCTGGATGCTCCAGGAGCTGGGACCCGCAGGCTCCAGGCAAACCATGGCACTCACACCCCCAATTCCAGAGAAATCCTCCAGCTTATCCACGAAAAATCTTCTCCTAAACTGGGATAAGAGATATTCCTAGCAGAGGTTGAATCACTTCAAAATCAGACTGTTTCAAAAATAAGTCTTTCCCATTTTCTATCCTTTTATTTCTTTTTTTTTTCTTTTTTTAACTGACATTTAATAAATTATAAAATCGGTGTATGGTGAAATAGAATATATCAGCCAGATATGTATGAAATACACATGCATGGGAAAAAACTATTGAACTCACCTGGAACTCACACACACGGATCTATAAATACATATATACACACACATATACATATAAACACCAACAGTTTCCTTTTTCCAAAATTCAAGTCAACTATTTAGTGGCAGAGGGATGCTGTAAAAACACTAAAAACAATTTTTGATGCCACATCATGTGAACCTTTCAAATAACCATACGACTGATCAGACAGCAATACCTAATGCTACTTGGATTAAAGATTTTTTTTCTTTTTTTTCTTGTATTTTTTTTTTAATTTTTTCCTGTTTTTTTTTCCTTTTTTTTTAAATCAATGCAAGATTTATATTTATGTTTTTTTGAGACGACTTCATAGGCAAAAGGTGGCCCTTGTCAATGCTTGAAGCAACTATTTGCAATCAACAGTTTTTTTGGACATGAAAAAGTTCAGACAAGAATCTGCTAATTTTAGTATTCCTTAACTCTCTTTTTCCTGATAAACTCAATACCTGCACTTTCAACCAGTTATAAAAATATTTTTCACACCAGAGGAAATATTTACTCTCTCTGACATGGACTTTGGGACACAAGAGAACCACTTCCTTCCCTCCCCCTTTCTCTGACTTTAAAGAATCTCCTGAAAAAAATCTGCATTCCAGCTATTTACACATTCCACTCCTTAAGAAGAACGGATCAGCCCAAATGACCAAAAAAAAAAAAAAAAAAATTTTTTTTCCTATGTCATGCACAACTTAAGAACAATGAGAAAAGAAACCAGGAATTAAATATGGCTGAAAAAAAAATCTGAGGAATCCAAAGAACTCTGAAGGAAAAGTGAATTTTGGAGGCCACTACCCCTAAAAGAGCAGGATGGGGAGGAACAGTTTGGGTTTTCCTGGTGGGTTTGGGGCTCAGGCTGGCACTGAGCAGGGAATGTCCAGGGGGGAGCACTCAGCTCTGAGCATGCAGGGGGTGCTGGGGTACAGCCTCACCTGCAGTGCTGAAACCTGTGCTGAAACCTGCGCTGAAACCTGTGCTGAAACCTGCACTGCTGAAACCTGCACTGCTGAAACCTGCACTGCTGAAACCTGCACTGCTGAATCCTGCGCTGCTGAATCCTGCGCTGCTGAAACCTGCACTGCTGAAACCTGCACTGCTGAAACCTGCACTGCTGAACCCTGCAGTGATGAAACCTGTGCTGAACCCTGCACTGCTGAACCCTGCACTGCTGAATCCTGCACTGCTGAATCCTGCACTGCTGAACCCTGCACTGCTGAATCCTGCACTGCTGAATCCTGCACTGCTGAACCCTGCACTGCTGAATCCTGCACTGCTGAATCCTGCACTGCTGAACCCTGCGCTGCTGAAACCTGTGCTGCTGAAACCTGTGCTGCTGAAACCTGCGCTGCTGAAACCTGCACTGCTGAATCCTGCAGTGATGAACCCTGCAGTGATGAAACCTGTGCTGAACCCTGCACTGCTGAACCCTGCACTGCTGAATCCTGCACTGCTGAAACCTGCAGTGATGAACCCTGCAGTGATGAAACCTGTGCTGAACCCTGCGCTGAAACCTGCAGTGCTGAACCCTGCGCTGAACCCTGTGCTGAACCCTGTGCTGAACCCTGCACTGAAACCTGTGGTGCTGAAACCTGCAATGCTGAGCCCTGCACTGCTGAAACCTGCAATGCTGAACCCTGTGCTGAAACCTGTGCTGAGCCCTGCAATGCTGAGCCCTGCACTGCTGAAACCTGCAATGCTGAACCCTGTGCTGAAACCTGTGCTGAGCCCTGCAATGCTGAACCTCGCAGTGCTGAACCCTGCAATGCTGAACCCTGCAATGCTGAACCCTGCACTGAACCCTGCCAGGCCAGGCCCAGCTGCAGGGTCTTAGGCTGAGTCTGAACACAGCAGCTCCACCCACACA